GGGCAGTGGCTTCCAGCCTCTTCGTTAAAGCATCACCTTCCCTCCTTTGCCTCGTCCTTCCCTGCTTTGTTCTGGTCGGAGTGTATGGAGTCATACGAGTGCTTGTGCTGGTGGAGATGACTCTCCTGGAGCAGGATGATGGAGAAGGTGGAGTTATTGCTGGAGCAGGCAGGTCACTGCACCCCACTGGAACTGCTATTGAAGTCATAAATATCATGTACACAATGTAGAGGGATTAAATGTTGATGGAAGACTATTAATCATAATTGAATTTATTCTTTTATTTGATTTACTTTATAAAGTGCGACAACTTTTGGCTAGCTATTTAAATTCTTAAGCATCTTAAAAATAACAAATACAGCACATTTGTCTCTGTCTTTGCATTTTATAAAAGGTCAGGACAGCATAAAGTGGGACACCTGCATTTGCACCATCCCCACTTTTCCTCTCATCTTCTTTCTTGCCTTAACCAATCGGTTCTTGTCTTGAGGTACTTCCATTTAGATCAACAAAGAGCCTGGTCCTTACCCAGGGTCTGACTCATTTCATCCCATGAATTAGTCTCTGAAAGTCCTTCTATTCTCTCACTGACATATCATATAGATCTCTATTGATCTCTGCATGGACGTGGCTTGCGGGCGTCCGCTTCAAGTCCGTGTTGAGTCTAATCCAGTATGCGTGGCCTTCTGTGGAATGAAGTACACGAGTGTGTGGGAGCCTTAAGCCCCTCCATATGCAACTGGGAATCCACAACTTCTCCTCCTCCACCATAACCCTCAGCACTGGCTCCACTCAGGGATGTGTGTTGAGCCCCCTCCTGTTTACTCTGCTCACATATGATTGTGCAGCTACCCATCCAGGCTGTCACATTGTAAAATTTGCAGACGATACAGCGGTGGTGGGATGCATCACAAACAATGATGAGTCCAGCTACAGGCAGGAGGTGGAACACCTGGAGAGCTGGTACAGGAAGAACAACCTTCACATCAACGTGAAGAAGACAAAGGAGATGATTGTGGACTTCAGAAGGAACAAACACACCTACCCCACCCCCTGAACATAAGAGGATCTGCGGTGGAAGTGGTCTCCAGCTACAAGTACTTGGGTGTGCACCTGAACAACAACCTCAGCTGGAGCAACAACACCACCAGCCTGATGAAGAAAGCTCATCAGAGACTCTACTTCCTCAGACGGCTGAGGCGAGCTGGTCTGGAAGCTCAGTCCTCACCTCCTTCTACAGGTGTGCAGTGGAGAGCATCCTGTGCTCCAGCATCAATGTGTGGCATGGAGGCTGCACAGCTGCAGAAAGAAAAGCTTTGCAGAGAGTGGTGAAGGCTGCACAGAAGATGTTGGAGTCAGCCTCCCCACCATCACAGACATCTACACCTCCAGATGCAGGAAGAGGGCCACCTGCATCATGAAGGACCACACTCACCCAGCACACACACTTTTTGCCCCACTCCCCTCAGGAAGGAGGTTAAGGAGCATTAAGTGTAGAACCACTAGACTGAGGAACAGCTTCTACCCTGAGGCTGTTAGACTCATGAATCTCAGAATCAGAATAAACTTTATTATCATTGCACCGAGATATAACGCGAATATGTACGTACAGTCGTCCGAAGATGGGCGGAGTGCACGAAGCTGCGGCTAAAAATAATCAGCGTGGCCTCTTATTCTTATTCAGAATAATATTTTGCTTAGATGAGAAAAGGAAAGAAAACATGAGGAGAGACGGTATAAAAAAAGATCTCTCACTCCGTGTCCTAGACAGGGCACGATTTGAGGCATCAAACAAACCTCCCAAGCAAAGCAACATAAACAGACGTTATACATGAACATATAGGTGGAGAAGATGTTGAATTTTTAAGGGAAAGTCGTAGCATAGTCCAGAGCCCCCCCTCAGCCATTGTCCAGATAAGAGGTGACGTTCATCTTCAGCTCAGTTGAGGTTCTGTCACATGTCCACGGCCTTGGGGGAGGGAGGGGTGAGGAAACAGTCAAAGCATCTTTGTTGTTTTCCTTAAACATTCCAGGAGGAGTTGAGATAAGTCCGGCATCAAGGACACAGTTTGGGTCAGGCAGAACTCGTGAATTGTTGTTTCTGCCTTTAAAGTCTCGCTGGTACATATTCTCTGATGGAAACTCCAAAACAGCCGAATTGATCCTTTACTCCAAAGTCGAGCTCACAGCATCTCCAGATTATTCCACCATTCATGAGTGCTGCCAGGGAGATCACAGTCCTGATAACAGCTGCTCCAAATCCCTGTCACAGCTCCACATTCAGTCCGAGCACTGTCAAGCTTCAACACCTCCACACAAATTTGTAGACAACCAGATTCCACCAACACAAACAGTAGAATCTAGATGTCATCATGAACCCAATTTGTCCTTCAGAGTTCAGAGTGTCCTCCTTACCCTGACTCCTGTCGGGAGAAGTTCATCGATTTTGTTGAGAGACCAGCTGATCCTTCCAATTAAGAGGTATGCAAAAAAAAAGAGGCTTTTTAAGGGTTCACAGGACAAAAGAGCGCAGCAGGGAAGCGGGTGTGTGTGTGTGTGTGTGGGGGGGGGGGGGGGGGGGGCAGAGAGGGAAAACACGTCTGGTTTCACTGTAGAGTAGCAAGAAAAAAAAAGAAAAAAATCTCTAACCAGAATAATCACTGTGATGCCACTTGGTTGTTGATATGTCCTGCTGATTATCCATGCTGCTGATCTCATGCTGCTGATTTACTCTGCTGTGTTCATTCATGCTCATCTGCTCACACAGACTCATGTTTGTGCTGCTGTTGTTCGGCGTATTGTTTTGTACTACTAGTGCTTAGAGTATTTTCAGTTTTAGTGTAGAAAAGGTTTGTAGGCTCCATCATCCAGGTAGCTAACAACAAAAATATTAAATCATTTCATCTGGACCAGTTTCTTTAAGGGAGAAACGTTTCGTCTTCCATCTGGAAGACTTCATCAGTCTGCACCCTGCCAAAAATATGCTAAAATAGTTTTAGTGTATTTCTTACTTCATATCTTAGATCTTATTACTGTTTTACTTTACAATTTATACTTTTTGTTGGATGTAACTGGGACTCTGTGTACACAATATCATTCCACCACATGAACCACATAGTGGAACGACAATAAAGAACCTCCTGATGCATGCTCAATAATCCAGGTAGAAAAATCTAAAAAAGTTCAATCTGGTCCTCTGGACATTCAAAAAAACAAAACAGCAAAAAGTAGAAACGTTTCGTCTCTCATCCTGAGGACTTCCTCAGTCTGAGGAGCTGTTTTCAGCTCAGTCTCTTAAATAGCACCTTCTCAGAGTGGATCAACCAGTTTGCTGCTGACAACCAGAACCAGCTGATCACATGCAAAAACAGGACCATTAGAATCATTCATGGTTCGTGCCCTGACCCCTCTTACAATGCTGTTATTGCTAGCATCACTCAGCCCCCTGTGAATAGCAAGCAGCCAGAGCACTAACGATCGATTGTTAGGCTGATGGTCCTCCTTTATCATGTGAATAGTTAGTTCTGGCGTCAGCACCAAACTGACTGATCCACCATGAGAAGGTGCTGCCTAGAAGACTGTTGCAGCTCCTCACACTGAAGAAGTCTTGAATAAAATATGAAACATATTGAAAAATAATCCATCCAGAGGACCTGACTTAACCTTGTTAGTCTCCACATTTTGTATTTGTAAAAAACCTAATTGTTGGAGGTGTGACAAGAGTAATAAAAACTGCACTTTGGGCAGTTTAACAAAGAAGCTTCTGCATTATTATTTTACAGTTTGGAGCAGTACAGGTGCACGCAGAACACCGTTTATAACACACAGACCATACATCTAATAATCACATTTATATTTAACTGGGCTGGAATTACAGAGCCCCGAGTGAGGGGGGCTGCAGTCCCTCACAGATGTGTTCAGTGTCATGTTTCATAAACATACAGGTTTCATGAACATACATGTTTCATAAACATACATGTTTCATAAACATACATGTTTCATAAACATACATGTTTCAT